CAAAGAGCAGCTCGAGCAGACAAAGCCAATTACTATAATGAAATGTGCAGAGACCTGGAGTTAGAAAACCAAAAGGGAAGAACACACTTGGCATTTCTCAAGCTGAAAGAACTGAAGAAAAAATTGAAGCCTTGAGTTGCAATATTGAAAGATTCTGTGAGCAAAATATTGAATGATGCAGGAAGCACCAAAAGAAGATGGCAGGAATATACAGAGTCACTGTACCAAAAAGAACTGGTCAATCTTCGTCCATTTCAGGAGGTGGCATATGTTCAAGAACCAATGGTAGTGAAGGAAGAAGTCGAAGCTGCACTGAAAGAATTGGTGAAGAACAAGGCTCCGGGAATTGACAGAATACCCATTGAGATGTTTCAGCAAATGGATGCCCTGCTGATGGCACTCTCTCGGCTATGCCAAGAGATTTGGAAGACAGCTGCCTGGCCAAGTGAGTGGAAGAGATCCATATTTGTACCCATTTCAAAGAAAGGTGATCCCACAGAATGTGGAAATTATCAAATAATATCATCAATATTGCACGCAAGTAAAATCTTACTGAAGATAATCCAAAAACGGTTGCAGCAGTATATTGAAAGAGAACTCCAGAAATGCAAGCTGGATTCAGAAGGGGATGTATAATGAGGGATATCATTGCTGATGTCAGATGGATCTTGGCTGAAAGGAAAGAATACCAGAAAGATGTTTACTTGTGTTTTATTGACTGTGTAAAAACATGCAGCTGTATGGATCATAACAAATTATGGATAACATTTGAGAAGAATGGGCATTCCAGAACACTTAATTGTATTCATGAGGAACCTGTACATAGACCAGGAGGCTGTCATTCAAATAGAAAAAGGGAGTACTTCATGGTTTAAAATCAAGAAGAGAGTGCATCAGGGTTGTATCCTTTCACCATACTTATACAGTCTGCATGGTGAGCAAATAATTGGAGAAGCTGGACTATATGAAGAAGAACGTGGCATTGGAATTGGAGGAAGAATCATTAACAACCTGTGATATGCTGACAACACAACTTTGCTTACTGAAGGTAAGGGCAACTTGAAGTACTTATTGATGAAGATTGAAGAATACAATCTGCAGTATGGATTACATCTCAATATAAAAAAAACAAAAATCCTCACAACTGGTCCTATTAGCAAGATTATGATAAATGGAGAAAAGATTGAAATTGTCAAAGACTTCACATTACTTGGTTCTACAATCGACGCCAATGGAAGCAGCATTCAGGACATCAGGCAACATATAGCACTGGGCAAATCAGCTGCAAAGGACCTCTTTCAAGTACTGAAGAGCAGAGATGTCTCCTTGAGGACTAAGGTGCGCCTGACACAAGCCATGGTATTTTCAGTCGCCTCATGTGAGAGCTGACATGTGAGAGCTGGACAATGAATGAAGAAGGCCAAAGAAGAATTGATGCTTTTGAGCTGTGGTGCTGGTGAAGAATGCTGAAAGTACCGTGGACTGCTAAAAGAACTAACAGGTCTGTCATGGAGGAAGTGCAGCCAGAATGCTCCTTGGAAGCAAGAATGGCCAGACTTTGTCTCACATACTTTGGTCATGTTGTCAGAAGGGACCATTCCCTGAAGAAGGATGTCATGCTTGGTAAGGTGGAGGGTCGTCAAAAGAGGGGAAGGCCCTCGACGAGATGGATTGACATGGTGGCAGCGGTGATGGGCTCAAGTAAAGCAAGAATCATGGAGCTGGCTCAGGACTGAGCAGTGTTACGTTCTACTGTGCATAGGGTCTCTATGAGTTGGAGACAACTCTGTGGCACCTAACAACAATAATTGTGTTCATGAGGCACCTTTACATAGACCAGGAGGCTGTCATTTGAATAGAACAGGGGCATACTGCATGGTTTAAAATCAGGAAAGGAGTGTGTTAGGGTTGTATCCTTTCACTATACTTTTTCAGTCTGTATGCTGAGCAAATAATCGAGAAGCTGGACTATATGAAGAAGAACGCAGCATCAGGATTGGAGGAAGACTCATTAACAACCTGCAATATGCAGATGACTCAACCTTGCTTCCTGAAAGTGAAGCTGACTTGAAGCACTTACTGAGGAAGATTAAAGACTACAGTCTGCAGTATTGATTACATCTCAATATAAAGAAAACAAAAATCTTCACAACTGGACCAATAAACAGCATCACGATAAATGGAGAAAAGATTGAAGTTTTTAAAGATTTCATATGACTTGGTTCCACAGTCAACATCAATGGAAGCAGCAGGCAGAAAATCAGATGATGTGTTGCACTGGACATGTCTGCTGCAAAAGAACTCTTTAAGGTGCTGAAGAGCAAAGATGTCTCTGAAGACTGTGAATCTACCTCATGATATGGTGTTTTCAGTAGCCTCATATGCATGAAAGCTGGACAATGAATAAGGAAGACAAAAGTACGGTTGATACTTTTAAATTGTGGTGTTGGCAAAGAATGCTGAAAGTACCATGGAGTACCAGAAGAACTAAACCTGTCCTGGAAGAAGTACAGCCAGAAAGTTCCTTGGAAGGGAGAATGGCCAGACTTTGTCTCACTTCCTTTGATCGTATTGTCAGAAGGGACCATTCCCTGGAGGAGGATATCATGCTAGGTAAAGTGGAGGGTCAGTGAAAAAAGGGGAAGACCCTCAAGGAGATGGATTGACACAGTGGCTGCAATGATGGGCTGTGGTATAGCAAGGATTGTGAGGCTGATGCAGGACAGGGGAATGTTGTACATAGGGTTGCTGTGAGTTAGAGCTGACTTGATGGCACCTAACAACAACAACAACAACTATTATAAAATCATTATGCTTTGAAGGAAATGACTAAAGCAAGACCATGTTATGAGAAAATATCAATCCTGCATCTTTGGGGAAGGATATTTTGTACTCTCAAAATTTTATTATTTCAGTTTAACTAACTCAATTGCCATTGAGTCGGATCTGACTCATAGCGACCCCTCCTTGGGTTTCCAAGGCGCTATCTCTACAGAAGTAGATTGCCCAGTCTTCCTTCCAAGGAGTGGCTGGTGGGTTTGAACTGCCAGCCTTCTGATTAGCAGTCAAATATGCCTTATATATAAAGTAACATCCTCAATTAAGGATTTAAGTTTATTCTTTTAAACTTGGAAAGACCCTGTTTTAGGTGCTTTATATTATTTACACTATCTCAAATATTTAATTTCCACACTAACCATATGAGGTCAGGGATCAGAGGTCAGTTTTGTAGAAGATAAAACCAGTGACAGAAGAGTTAAGTAACCTAGCCAGGCTCCTGAAGCTAATAAATATAAAACTGATATACTACTACTTTATATATGTATGTGTATATATATATATCAGCTTACCAAAGTTTGGAGTGTGAGTTTGGTTTTTGTTTTTATCATAACAGAAACACTACAAGTAGATGGCTCTAAAGAATAGGTATATATTGTCTCACAGTCCTGGAAGCTAAAAGTCCATATAAGGGATTCAGCTTATTTGATTCCTTCTGTAAGCCTCTCTCCTAATATTTCTGTTGTGTGCCTCTGATCCTTGCTGTTTCCTTTGCTTGTAGACAGGTCTTCACATGTCTTCTTGTCTTCCCCCTTTGTGTGTCTTTGTGTCTGTTCTCCTCTTTTATAATTCAGAAGTGATAGGTTTAGGGTCCATCCTACTCTGGTATGAATTTATTAACATAACAAAAAGAAAGCCCCTATTTCCGAACACTGCCATATTTACAAGTACAAGGGTTAAGGTTTCAAAGCATATTTTGTGGGAACACAATTCAATCCAAAACTGTGTTTATACGCTATAAGTATCAAATTCCATTTCAAATAAATTTGCTCCTAAGGCATTTGACTGCTAACCAGAAGTCTGGTGGTTCAAATCCACCAGCCATTCCACAGAGGCAAGACTGGGCAATCTACTTTCGTAAAGATTTACCGCTTCGGGAAACCCAAAGGGGGTCGCTTTGAGTTGGAATAGACTAGATGGCAGTGAGTTTGGTTTTTGGTTTTATGGTTAAATTACAATCTAACAAAAACAACTCACTGCCTGCGGGTAGATTGGACTCACGGCAGCCATTCCTTGGGTGTCCAAGGCGGTGTCTCTAAGGAAGTAGATTGCCCAACCTTCCTTCTGAGGAGTGGCTGGTGGGTTTGAATCTCCAACCTTCTGGTTAGCAGTCACATGCCTTAGGTACTATGCCAAAAGACCTCCCAAATTACAACGTAGATCGAGCATTTCTAATAAATAAATAAATACTGTTGAATCATGGGGGCCTGGCAAAGTAAGATGGTGGACTCCATAAAACTTTTCTACCACTGGAAGAATAACTCAAAGGTTGTATTTTTTTTAAAATATTAGTCTGAATATTATTCTTAGAATGATAACTTTTTACTGATACTCTTTCAAAATATTTATATAGATTTGAATGTTTTGTGTTAATCCTGAGAACTCAGGCTGTTTCCTATTTATATTCATGTTCAGTACTTAACCAGTTTTGCTTGAATAAGTTAGTAGATTATATTAATTTGCCATGAGGCAACATTTTAATTCTTTGCTTTATAGTTCTAAGATGTAATGAAATGGATCTGTTTTTTTGTGAATTTTATTGCAGTGCTAGTGATGCCATTAAAGGAGAAGGACTGCAAGAAGGTGTAGACTGGCTTCAAGGTACATGCCAAATGCATTTCTAGTTCTTATTTCCTATCCTTTCACATATTTAATTCCTTTTCTACATTTTATTTTTATCATATCATTGCTCTTTGCCCCTCATTTCCATTTTTTCCTGCTGTCAGAAAAAACAATACAGTAAGTATCCAGTATGTTGCTCCACTTGGCTTCTATTACATTTTTCTAAAGGATTTATTTAAATAAAAATTGCATAGTTAAAATCAATATATTTGAAAACTCTAGAAAATAAATTTAATATATGAAAATAAATTTCTGTCAGATCTAGTAATAGAAACATATTTGAATTTTGAGACAAATATTAGTTCCAACTGTCAGTAACCAAAAAGTAGTACCATCTTTTAAGAATCATATACTCTACATTACACAGCTTGTAGCATTCACATTTAGTATTATAAATAATGGTATTTATGTTTTCTATATGTATGGTTCTCTTTGTTATTCATCAAAATAGTGAGCTTATGGTTGGATGGTACAAGCTTCTTGCTGTCAGGGTGCTGCTAAGTCAGTTCCAGCTCATAGCAACCTTATGTACAAGAGAACAGAACACTGTCCGGTCCTGCAGCATCCTCAGAATCTTTGCTATAATTGAGTCCATCTTTGAGTTACTGTGTCAGTCCTATGTTGTTATTGTTGATAACTGCTGTCAAGTAGGCACTCAACTCATGGCAACTTCATGTACAGTGGAACTAAATACTACTGCCTGGTCCTACTCCATCCCCATGGTCTTTTACAGGTTGAACTGTTGTGATCCATATGGGGTTTTCCTTGACTGATTTTCTTAGTCTGAAAGCTCCGTTGAAACCTGTTTGATATCATAGCAATACACAAGCCTACACTGACAGACAAGGGTGGCTGAGTATAAGGTATATCAGCTGGGAATCAGACCACTGGCTTCTTCAAGAATCCTGCCACTGAACCACAATGCCCCCACTTTGGGCTTGCTGCAGGGAACAGATTAAGATACATCATTTTTCCTAAGGTTACATTGTATATTAGCTATAGAAATTATTTGAAGTGCAGTGACCCACAGTGAACATTTTTTGAGTCAGGCCAACAAATGAGGCCAAAGACTCTATTTGCATTTGTGAACAGAACAGCTAACGATCATTCCTATTATGAATCACTGTGCCCTGAACAAAGGTGAAAAATGAGATACAAATTCTGGTTGTAGTCTTAACAGTTGTAAATTATAATTTCTTCCATACCAACTTTTTATGTTAGTTACGTGTATTTTTTCCTCTTCTGCATGTTGAAATTGTTATAAAAGGAAAGGCTACATGCATATGCCTAACAGGCCATAATATTTATTTGGTTCAGAGTTATTAAATGTACATTTGATAAATATTTATATGTATCATTGATGTGATACAGTTATTTTGTATTTTAGTTAACTGTACAGACTATATTGTATTTTCCTTTTTTGTATTTGTGCAGCCATTTTGATATTTATCATTAAACTACTGAGAGAATTCTAGTAATATTTTAAAATTTAATTGAGAACGTCTAGTTTTTCTAAAAAAACTAAGGGTTTTTTCTGTGGGCCCACTAATTCAGTTTCTTAGCAAGGTTGTGGGACTGATTCCCCTACACAACAGATAGGTTACAGAGGAATACTTCAGAGAAGATGCCATAAAGCATATTTTCATTCCAGACTTCTTATTTTACAAGTACTTACCATTGCTTATGGTGAAGATACAGCATGGATGAAAATCCTACTATTGTTCATAATAAAGTAATTCAAAGCATCGTCCTTCACAGTAGTTCATAGTACTGAAAATAGACTTGAGTGTTAGTACCCTTGATTTTAAATTTTAGTTCTGTCGTTTTTTTTTAATTTTTTTCTTTCGGTTTTATTTAGTCTGTAATGGTTGGGCCACTAGGTGTCAGAATGATCCAACATGACAGTGCAACTTGCCAACTCAGGTTTTGCTGGCTAATTCATGTTTGTTTTACTTTTTGGATCCATTATTTTATCTTACCTCCCAAGTCTTTGTAAGGAAGATACCTTATTGAAAATATTTTTGTGCTCTTGTGTTGCCATATTAGTCTATGTTATTTTTACAACAATTCTTTGCAAGGTAAGTGTATTATCCCCATTTTATGTAGGCAGCATAGAAAACAGTAATGGTCCAACAGATTTATTCCACTACTTATTAATTAATCTCTCTCCATATAATTAACTTCTTATTATCTTATGAAGATCATTTTTTATCTGAAAATTGAAAAACAAAAAAATTCATCATTTGTATAGATTAAATGAGATACTTTGGGTTAAAAGACTTAGCATAAGAAAGTACTCAACAATGTCAAGTTTACTCTTTTCAATTAAAATACTTCATTTAAAAGGGGAATAAATTAAGTACATAGATAATAAAATAAGTGTATCTGTTTAGTTTTGAATAGATCCTTTGTTCATATTTGTTCTATAATAATAAACAGTTTATATTTTGATGCTTCCACCTGTATTTCTGGATTTGAAAAGAGGTCAAATCTGTTTTGGAATGTAAGTCACAGTAAATAAAGGGGCCTTATAAGTGCTTATTACTCTTAACCTAATAGAGGCATTTAGTAAATCTGACTATGAAAGAAGTTCTGAACTTATATTTCTTTATTTTGCTTCCAAAATTCTGAAATTTTCTAGCATGATAAACAAGAAGTTCTCTGGTTCATTTTGGACAATTTAGTCATCTTGCTTTAAGTTTCAGATTGGAAATTTTTCAATAAATTATCTCATGTTTAATGCCATGAGTCTGTTTTCTTTTGGAAGGATTTTTCGTTAATATTCTGTGTGTTACATCTCAAAGTCAGAAACCCCTTGAGCAGATTATGAAGACTTTTCTAAACTACCAGAGAATATACAGAAATCATTGTAGAGCTATAAATAGTTTTCAAGCCTTATGAAACCTTCAAATTAAATATTTTTACAAAGAAAACCACCCAGATAACTTGTTTTATATATCAAAAATGTGTCGGGTGCTTCTAGATTTTTATGTAAGATTTTATAAACTGTGTGCATAGTGGTTCAAGCGCAATACAGAAAATTCTATACACATACTTAACTTTATTCTGTCCCCAAATTTCACCAACTCTAAAGGGACTTTTTAAAAAGACATTAACCCACAGGACAAAAAGAATGGGAACAATGAAAATGGCAACCAAGTTTTAGGAGCTGGAAGTCTGATGGATGTTAAGTGACTTAACAGACTTGAGAAAGCTGAATCCTAAACTAACACTTGGAGAAGTTGAAGAAACAGCTAATTTACGTGCAGATCCCCTCAAAGACTCCAAAATTGGTAGAAATTAGAAGAGTAAAGGTGGAACTGGAAAGAGAAGATGCAGTTACACTTCCTTCTCCTAAAGGAAAATAGAAGGTTTATTCTCTGCTGAGAATCACAGAGGGTCTCCAAACTGGAGGAGACAAGGCACAATTTTGTGCAGTGATGCTGAACTGAATATGGAAATTAAATGCAAATTTTTGTACTGAATATGAGAACTTTTTTTGACTTCTCCCATAGCACTGAGTCATCTTTGAGGAATCAGAATAACCTAAGAGAAAAAAAAACCTAAAGATATTAATATCAGAATTCTAAAGAAGTGGCTTAGCTACATACCTTAGAACGAAGACCCATTTGACAAGCCTCACATGTTTCCCAGTTCCAATCAGCTTTATAGTGTTATTCATACATATACGCAGATGACAAAGAATCACAAGGTATTTGAAGATCTAAACATTATACTATAATCCAAACGGGGAAAAAAAAAAAAGAAAAGCAGTTTTAAAGAACTAGAACTTACGTAGGGAAAACATTTCAAAAAACTATTATAATTATGCTAAAAATTATAAGAAAATGTATTACCTTCATGAGTAAGACCATGATGCCACTTGATAATGAACAAAGAGTTATTGGTAAATATTAATAAATAGTAAAAATAGAAAAGAAGGATTAGAAAATAAAGTAGAGGCAGTCTCCCAGAGAATAGAGCAAAAAAGAAAATTGGAAAGAAAAGGTAAGGTAAGGGGCTGTCTTAGTTATCTCATACTGGTATAATTGAAATTTATTTTCTTACATTATAGGAGGATAGAATTCCAAATTCAAGGTGGCAGCTCTACAGGAAGGCTTTCTCTCCCTGTTGGCTCTGGAGCAGGGCCTTTGTCTCTTCTAGCTGCTCCTGGGCAGTCTTCCTGTGGCTTGGCATCTCTCTTCCACCATCTATCTTCTGTTCACTTGTTTAATCTCTTTCATGTAAATAAAAAGAAATTGACTGAAGACATACTCTACACTAATCCTGTCCCATTAACATAACAAAGACAATCCATTCACAAATAGGATGATAACACGGGCATAGAGGTTAGGGTTTACAACACTGTTTTTTGGGGACACAATCACAGAGGACAAGTTCAGGAGATCCAATATTCAAATAATAGGAATTTCAGAAAGCAAGAACAGAGAAAACAGCTGATCAGATCATCCAATACATTATTAAACAGTATTTTCCAGAGCAGAAAGATGGATTTTGAGTTTTAAAATCTTCTCAAGAGCCTAATGCAGTGGATGAAAATATTCCCACACCAAAGCACATCCTTATGAAACTTTAGCACTGAGGACAATGGAAGATTCTACAAATTTCCTGAGAGGAAAATATCAAGTTTCATGTAAAGGATAAGGAAACAGATGGCATCAGACTTCTCAACAGTAACACTGGAAGCTGGAAAATAACTGGGCTGTGCTTGGAAAATCCAGGAGGAAAATAATGAAATTATATTCTTAGGCAGTATTAATGTAGTATGATGATAGAATATTAGCATTTTTTGCCATATGAAGTCTCAAAAATTTATGTTGTTTGTCTTTTGCTAAATTATCCATTTAGTGATGTATTCCATGTTGTTGTTGTTGTTGTTGTTTTGCTGTCGAGTTAGCCCTGACTTATAGCAACCCCTCCTTGGGTTTCCGAGGCAGTATCACTACGGAAGTAGGATTGCCCAACCTTCCTTCCGAGGAGTGGCTGGTGGGTTTGAACCGCCAGCCTTCTGGTGAGCAGTCAAGTGCCTTAGGCACTATGCTACCAGAGAGAACAAGGAAATAAACCAAGAAGAAAACAAAGGACCATGAAACAAGGAAACACAAGAGTGGGAGAAGAAATCCCTAGAATGGTAATGGAGATCCTCAAATGATAAAAAAGACATCACATTAGAGGATAGTCGTATGGCAGGCATGGGTTGGAGAATTTGCTTCTTCAAGAAGATTAAATTGATAGACTATGTGAAGTGTTTAACCATATAAAAGGTTTAATGAGTGGGGGAGTACTGCAGTTAGATTAATAATAAATACGTTAAAAAAAGAGAAAACTAAGGAGATGGAGGGAAACAATTATTAACTCCATTTTACTAAAATACAGGAGAGAAAAGGAAAAGTAATCATAGTATACCATCTGGCTCAGCTATGGATAGTATTTATATAATCATCACATTAACAATGACTACATCACTGTGTTAGAAGGATGGGAATCTTAGAAGATAGCAATGGGTTGTAGAGTGGCACCATGGGAGAATTGAAAACGAGCTGAATCCTCCTTTTGAGGGAACCTATAATTCAAAAAGTAATGATAAAATTATATTTAGAGATACAGAGATAACCACCCTGAAGGGAGTTGGAAGGCTGAGGCACGAAACCGTTGTTTTCCATACAAGAAATGGTTGACTCTTTAACTGTATGCTTCTACAACATTGATAAAAACTTAAGAATTGTGCTTTTGAAAACTAGGCATAGGCATATACACGTTCCTATAGATTGGTTTTGTATTACTTTAAAAAAATGGATTTTTCCCTGTGGACTCAGGTTTTTTTTTTGTTTGTTTGTTTTTTGTTATCAGATCAAATTCAGGCTGTGAAGACATGAAAAGATAATATTTGGAAACCTCAGCAATTTTCAAGGATTACATATTTAAGGCAATCTGAATACTTTAAAGTTTTCAAAAGATTTTTGTGCATATAAGAATCTTCTGCTTGCATTTATGGATTCCAAATGAGCTTTTTTAGCATATAGGACTTTAGGTATGCTAATCTAGCCATTAATTATATGAAAATTAAATCTTCTCTCAAAAGGGCTTCCTAGAATTATCAGACTCTTGTTAAGGGTCTACATTCATTTATAATTAGAATGTTTAAAAGTCAAGGTTATAAACCAGCTTAGTGTCTCATCATGATTTGTTATGTCTTTGTGCATTTCAAAAATTGTCTGTTTTTAAATATTAATTTATGGTATAATTTTACAGTATGAATTGTGCTTGTAAAGATGAACTAGGTATTTATAAGGGACCATGAGTAATTGATATATATTAATTTTTTTCATATATGTCACCATTAATAAAACATGAAATGTAGTATACCAACTGTGTGGTTTATGTATGCTGAAAACAATAATGCTGTGTAAAAATGATATGTGGTGTTTTACTTTCACTCATTTGTAAATGATAGGAATCCAGATTAAGCTAAATTTAAATACTCTATGAATATTTATTGAATATCTCTATACCTACCAGCCAGGCATAGTCCTTGGCAATGAACATACAAGGTAAATAAGGCATAGTCCTTGCTTGAAAGAACATGAAGTTTCTATCAGGGAGAATTTGAGATCCCTTTCATACATAGTATTCTGATTTTATCGTATTGGTTGAGTGAAAATATTATCTTCACATTAAGAGATATAAAAGTGAATAATGTTTGATTCTTCATTAATTGTTATAGCTGATTCTTTTTCTCCTATAAAAATACCTCCAGTTTATTATAGTGCTTCACTAAAATAGATAATGAGTCACTAAACTGTGCTTTTCCTGAGCGTAAACTACTTCATAAATGTTCTTTAGAATTTTAGGCACAGCTCAGGCAACTACTGTATACAAATTATGTAACTTCTTACAGTTTCAACTGAAAATCATTTATAGCTGTGGACTCTAGAAGCTCTCATTTTAAATTAATCACTGAAAGGCAGTTTTATATAGCAATGATTTTAATCCTGAAAAAAACAAGTATGTATAAAGAATGAAAGGTTGATATGTGATACATAACTTATTGACATCTGTAAGTGTGAAAATGATAAAAACAGAAGGCAAGAAAAGTAAGTAATAAAGATGTGTCATGGTAACTGTAGTAGTGGTATATGTTTTACAGAGATTTGAATAAAATCATTTAAGAATTACCATAAAAATTCTACAATCCAGTTTCTCATAGTCCAGAAATCTCAGTGATTTGGCAAATAAAAGTTATCCAAAAAACATCTAAATTATAAATCATTAAAGCAACTCATTGGGAATCTCCAGGCAGCCAGAACCTAGCCTGGCCCAGAAAGAATTTGAGGCAAATTGGCAAACATAGCCACGATACTTTGTAATTCTCATCAAGAAGTGGTTCTTTTACCCATGCAAGGAATCTGGGCTAGACTTGTAATTAACTTTGACTAGTAGAATGTAGCAGAAGGGATATGGTTCAAAGTCCAGAGCCTAGCCCTCAAGAGACATTGCAACATCTGATTTTGCCATTAGAGAAGTAGGGTGCTCCAGCCACAGGCTTGTCTGCCAGATGTGTGAGTGAAGCCATCTTGGTTCTTAACTACCTGATGCTCCAGCTGAATGCAGATGTGTGAGTGATTCCAGATGAAGCCAAAAGATGTAACTGTAATTATAGGAAATTATTTTGTTCCACTAAGTACAAGGTTTAAAAACAACAACAACAAAAAAAGACCAAAAACTATGGAACATAGTTCTATATGGACACCCATGGGTTACCATAAGCTGGAGTTGATTTCATGACAAAAATTAAAAAAAAAGAAAAAATCATGTAAATAGAATGTTTATTTCAATGTAAAGTTTTCAGCCTACTAAAAGCTCTAATGTTCCCTAGTTAATTTCTAAAATTTCTTAGACCTTCATTATAGGTCTATTCTTCATTGTTTCAGTGGAAAATAAACCTTGAAAATAATGTTTTTTAAAAAAATGTTTCTTAATGTGTTTTTTAAGCCACTAAGTTATTTTTTATTTTATTATATTTTTATTGTGTTTTGGGTGCAAATTTACAAAGCGAATTTGGTTTTGTTTTGGGGTTTTTCCACATACTTTGTTTTTATTTTATTATTATTTTTATTTTTTCAGTGTTCCCTCCCCTCCCCTCTGACTCTGGCAACCAACAAAGAAAGTTTCCTTCCATATAAAAGCCTTTCCTTGACTTTTTAAAATAATTAATTAAGCCACTAAGTTTTGTAGTGATCTGTTATGCAGCAGTAGAGCAGTGCAGACCAATAGGATTAATTTGTTAGGCTTTTTGGATTGGCAGGAATGGAGGTTTACTCAGGCTAGCTTAACAAGTTAGGTTACATGGTAAGGCACATACACTTGACAGTAAAAGAGATAGAAATATTACAGAAATGTAAGAATGAATAGAATCAGATTCCGTGGATACGGAAACTTCGTGGATTTTGAAACTTAAAGATAATTCTGCATGCAAGGTCAATATAGGCAGCAGGAAGAGTTTGATTCTCCATCATTCTTCATTGATCTCTGAATATCTATTCTTACCCTTTGCCAGCTTATTTATTCTTTTGGTATATCTAAGTTTGCATTTATAATAGTGAATCTGACTAGCTTATGATATTTGTTGTTATTCTTATTTGGGCAAAGCTTTTCAAACCCATGCCAAATCATAGATCATTGTCTATTCTATGGGTTAGTTATTTACCCCTGGTCCAATTAGCTGTGGTCCATAGAAAAGAGAAGATAATATGTGGTATAGAGCAGCTTGGGGCTGCCTTCCCTACCAGTTCTTTAACCCTGAGAAGCATCAACGTCATCTGTTGAATACAGAATGTCATAATAGAGCTCTCATACATGCTTCAGACTTGCCAGTAAATTCAAAGATTTCTTAATTTTCTGGTGTGTTTTTTAGATACTTTATCCTCTACTTCAGATACTCTCAAGCTTGTCATCTTGTGTCAACTGCTATTGCTTGTGGGCCCCAACCAACTATAGATAGGTGTATCCTGACAGTGCCCCACATTTCTCACTTCCTGGTTCTGAGCTTCCCTCTTTGTGCTTTCATATCCCCACCACCATACTCAAACATGCACAGCCCAGCAGGGCAACCTTTGTCCAATGGGAAACGGAAACCAATGAATTCTTTTTTCTGTCTTCCTCCATCACTCATGCACAGTTCTGAGACTCACTAAATACAACTTTTAGATGATTCCTCTGAATCTGGCAATTATTTAGTAGCCATCTCAATAACACATTTTCATATTGCCTGTCTCCTAATTGCTTAATTTTCCTTGCCCATCATTGTACTCCATATTAAAGTAATTGCACAGAGTATCTCTGCCTCAGGAATGCAGGCTGGGAAGCTCAAGCTGTGACCAATACCACTTCTCAAATTATGATCAGAGTCACCTGTGGTGGTTATATATGCACTGAATATTGAGTTGCACTACTCTAGGATTTTGAAACATAAACAGATCACTCTGAAGTAAGCATTGTTAAAATCAGTTGATCAGAAGCTATCTTGCAAGTTTAGTTCTGGGTAAATTGGTGTAGAACACCCTATCTCTCCCACTGATGCAGCTATAATGGCTGGACAGAATGCATGAAGCAGCTGTTTGAAGATTCTGAAAAGGAAATAGTAGATGGAAACCAGATGGCATCGTGCTAACACACTCCGCCCAGTCCCTCCACAACAGAGACCCAGCAAGACTGAGTGAAACATACAAATAATGATCCTGGAATTCTGAGCATCTAATGAGAAGATAAAGTATTAGATCGAGTACACACTGGAAAGGGAAACTGAGGTTGGTGACGGGAGAGAGAAGAAGCTGGGACCTGCAGAAACATAGACATTTTGAACTCAGTAGAGAAAGAAGAAAGAAAGAAAAAATAATCATGGAATCCACATGGCAATAGATAAAAGTATAGACAGAGAGGGAGGAATCTAAGGTGAGCTGGAGTTGTGTGGGAGCTAGGAGAAGAACGTGCAGGGAAGCATGTAGAATTACATCCTATGAAGCAAGCATAACCCTGATGCCAAAACTGAGCAAAGACACCACAAGAAAAGAAATTACATACCAATATCCCTCGTGAGCTAATGTGCCCATTCCAAAGAAAAATGATCCAACAAAATGTGGAAGTTATCCAATCATATCATTAATATCACACACAAGTAAAATTTTGCTCGAGATAATTAAAAAGTGATTGCAACAGTATATTGATAGGCAACTGCTAGAAATTCAAGCAGGATTAATAAGAGGGCATGGAACAAGGGATGTCAATGCTGTTGTCAGATGGATCTTGGCTGAGAGCAAAGAATAGCAGAAAGATGTTTACTTGTGTTTATTGACTATGAAAAGGCATTTGATTCTATGGATCATAACAAATTAGGATAACATTGCAAAGAATGGGAATTCCAGAACATTTAATTGTGCTCACGAGGAACCTGTACATAGACCAAGAGTAGTTATTCAGAGCAAGAGGATACTGAATGGTTTAAAATCAGGAAAGGTGTGTGTCAGGGTTATCCTTTCACCATACTTAATCAGTATGCTGAGCAAATATTCCAAGAAATTGGACTATATGAAAAAGAATGCAACATTAGAATTGGAGGAAGACTTATTCAAAACCTGCAATACGCAGATGACACAACTTTGCTTGCTGAAAGTGAATAGGACTTGAAGCACTTACTGATGAAGATCAAAGACTGCAGCCTTCAGTATGGACTACACCTCAACCTCAAGAAAACAAAAATTCTCACAACTGGACCAAATAAGTAATAGCCAAATAAATGGAGAAATGATTGACATTCTCAGGGGTTTCATTTTACTGGGATCCACAGTCAACAGCCATGGAAGTAAAAAAAAAAAAAAAACTCACTGCTGTTGAGTCAGATCTGACGCATAGCGACCCCTCCTTGGTTTCCCGACGTGGTATCTCTACAGAAGTGGATTGCCCAACCTTCCTTCAGAGGAGTGGCTGGTAGGTTTGAACCTCCAGCTTTCTGGTTAGCAGTCAAATGTCTTAGGCACTATGCCACTAGAGATCCCCCACCCCCCACCCCATGGAAG